CCTCCATATCTGCCGGACCCTTGGCCTGCGCCTCACCATCGCCTTCAGCAGTGGGATAGGTGTTCATCGAGACATTGCTGTCGTACTTGGCGGTAGTGCTCGGCGGCTTAACAGAAGAAGCATCGGCAGCGATCTCGGGGGTGTCGCAGAACTCGCGGCGCTCCGTGGGAGTCATCCCGGCCATCTTGTCGATCTGGGGGACGTATCCGCTCGCCATGATGTACCTGCGGTCGCTGGTACTGCGCATGTTTAGTTTCTTCATCTGCGGCTGCAATTGGGGAAGCTAAGTACCTTGTCGCGGAACAAATGCGACGTAATGGCGACAGCGGCGAGTTTGGGTAAAGAGCAAACTAATTGCGGTTTGCAATTGAGTGTAGTGTTGTTTTGCTTGGCTGACGCGGCGAGCAGATTCTAGAGACGCAGCTTGAGAAATTGCGCACGGACAGTGAAGGTGAAGAGGAGAAGAACAGAAGCGGAGGATAATGCCTCACGGTGATAAACAAAGAATGCGGGGTAGTCGTCATTTCCGGTGAGCCATTTACTCAATGGGGGACATGGAGACGTGTAGGGCAGGAGCGTCATACTGTAAGGTAGTCACGATGGCGGTTGAGCGCAGACATGTCACTGCATGGCCTTTGTGCAAGAGTGCGCATCTCCGCTCAGGTACTATGATGCGGGTCAAGGAATGTTGATACCCTTATCGTAGAAGCGCTCATGTCTGAGGTTGACTTAGAAATAGACACGATGAGCTGGTATCATCGTCGTTGTTGACGTAGAGCAACGAGCCGGCTCACGACCTATGTCAACCTTGAAACCAGGGTCCATTGCACTTCGGATAAACGCGGCTCTCCTAGAGTCCTGTGGTCTTCCTTCTTTCTCTGGGAGTATACGAGCCGTGTAAAGGTGACTAATAGAAGTGTTCTGACCACGCGGATGGCGGCCACATAGATTTTGACAGTGAACTCGCTTGCAATGGTACCTCGAAAAGGAGGATTCAGGTCTGCTCTAGTATAACAAACTCATGCTTTACGCGTGGCTACATGTTGAAACAGACCGACTGTCTTCGTCCTGAAAAGGATACTCTGCCGTCCCATGGTCTTACTCATGTTTTTCATCGAACATATGTTGACGACCCCCAAGATTTGTTGAATGCGAACGCCCCTGCATCATGCTGCCAGTGCTCTCCCCTAAACGTAGCGCCATAACTCCCAGAACCGCCTGATCAGACTCACACACTATGAGGTCTGTAGGCTGACCTGCTCAACTCCTCTCGTCACTTCCTCCTCAGCGGTCTTGGCTGCAGGTCCGTCTTGGCCCTTCTCTGCAGCTTCAACACCCTTGTCAGCACCGGCAGCCTTCTTCGCCTTCTTACGCTCCTTCTCTGCCTTCTTAGCGGCCGCCTTCTTGGCCTTCTCCTCCTTGGCTTTGCGAGCCTCCTCGCCACCAAATTGCTCGCGCCACTCTTGCTCCTTCTCAGGTTTGATCTGGGTGAAGAGATAGCCGGCGGTGCCGATCTTGTGGCCGACGGGGAGTGATTTCGCCTCCCAAGTGTCGGGAATGATGAGGAACTTGGCATTCAGCTGGGAGAGGATGGCGGCGGTAGTATCGGGCCTGTATCGTGATTAGCCGTAAGCTCTGCACTGGGACGTCTCTATGCTGCTCGACCACAATGAACAGTCATGTGATGGAGAGATTCGAGACTTACATGTATGGTTCGATCAAACTCGCGAGGAGATGAATCTGGCTCAAGGCAAGTCCGACAACAGCGGCGCAACGATCGGGTTGCTCGGTAGCCAGCTTGTTGTCAAGTCGGTTATCTTGCAGCAGCAAGTTACCCAAGCTCGAGACATGAAGCGCGGTCGCGAGTGCGGCACGAATCTTGACATCCTCCAGCTCGGTAATGTACGTCTTCAGCAGATCATTGACCTTCTTCTTGTGCTCCGTGAAGTACTCATCGTCGTACTTGGTCCAGTCAGGTACGACCGAATCGTAGATCTTGGCGTTGTTGACGAATTTGATCACGCGGTTGATGAAATTGCCCAGGTTCTTCAGCAGCTCGTTGTTGTTTGCGGCAATGAAGCCGTCCCACTCGAATTCGGTATCGCCAGTTTCCGGCCGATGTGAGAGAAGGTAGTAGCGCCATACGTCCGATGGGATTCCAGTCTCCTTGGCGTTGTTGCCGAAGACACCAATGTTCCTTGACTTTGAGAACTTGCCCTTCTCGTAGTTCAAGTATTCTGTGGTTGAGATGGTGTTAAGCATGGTCCAGTTGTCCTTGGTACCGATCTGAGAACAGGGGAAGACCACCGTGTGGAACGGCACGTTGTCCTTGCCCATGAATTGGTAAAGCTTAACGTGCTCGGGGTTGTGCCACCACTTCTTCCAGTCCTCGGTGTAGGTTGCTGTAATCGACACGTAACCTATGCAGGCGTCGAACCATACGTACATGACCTTGTCCTCGTAGCCCTGATACCGGTCAGCTGAATTTTGTCGTGTTCAAAAGTGCGTCGTACCTCGAGCGGCACCGCAGTTCCCCACTTCAGATCACGAGTGATACCACGCGGTCTTAGACCCTCCTTCAACCACGATGAAGTAATGTGGATACCATTGGAGCTCCAGTTACCCTCCTTGCTCGCCTTCTTGAACCATTCCTCTTCTAATGGCTGTAGCTTGTCGAGGCAGAGGTACACGTGCTTGGTTTCACGCGGAATTGGCGTGGCGCCATCGAGTTTGCAACGCGGGTTCTTCAACTCCAGAGGGTCGAGAAGATGTCCGCACTTGTCACACTGGTCTCCACGCGCGTCTTCGTATGCGCACAACGGACATGTGCCCTCGACGAATCGGTCCGCAAGGAAGCTCTTGTGTGTCTCGCAGTACGGCTGCGTTGTGGTCTGTTCCTCGAGGAACCCGTTTTTGTATAGTTTTGTGAAGATGTCTTGTGCGATGTCGGTTTGTTGCTGTGTGGGTGTGCGTCCGAAGTGGTCAAAGCTGATGTTGAACCACTTGTAGACCTCGCTGTGGAGCGCGAAGTACTTGTCGCATAGCTCTTTCGGAGTGACTTTCTCTTCTATAGCCTTCGTCTCCGTTGCTGTGCCGTATTCGTCTGTTCCGCAGACGTATAGTGTGTTGTACCCTCGGGCGCGTGAGAAACGAGCGAAGACATCGGCGGAGAGTACGGAGCCGACGATGTTGCCCAGATGCGGGACATTGTTCACGTAAGGGAGCGCGCTGGTAATGAGCACGTTCCTTTCGCCCTCGACGGGCAAAATCTTCTTGGTTGTCTCAGTCATGGAAGGTTGTAAGCTGTATCGAGTCAGCTTGCTGTACTGAATGGGTGAATGACGATGTGCTTCGTACTATGGTGTATCGGGATATGTAGTTGAAGGCGAAGAGAGTGGAAGGAAAGCGAGCGCGCAATGGGACGATATGCAGCTCCGTGTTTCTTTGGTCGAGTAGCTGAGTCAAACGCGAATGACTGCACACACGACGGATGTGTGGTAGCTGCCCCGCCTAAACTTACCCCACCAGCCAGTGACGCCACAGGTGGCTGAACCCTGACTTCGATCTTTGCAGCAAAGGACTTGATCGCCTTTCAGAAGCGGAACTCACACGGATCTCAGTAGAACAGTCTACGAAAGCTTGAATTACTGCCTTTTCTACAGAGCACTAAGGGTGAATTCCTCTGAAGAGAAACCAAGACTTGACTCATCCACACCATAAATATTTGAATTTGGTAACAACCTCAGAAATTGTGCAGTAGCACCACGAGAGAAAGACAACATACAAAACCAAATCCTCAGCTGTTTGGACCGTCGAGTCACTATTCATACAACCATGGCATCCCAACCTCCCAACCCATCAACCACCCGCACCCCCTCACCCGACCCCTTCGACGCCCTCCTAAACCTAGAAGACACCCTCTACACCACCGCCTACAACCTCGGTGTCTCCGACGGCGCCCACGCCGGGCGAATCGAAGGGCGAATTTTCGGATTAGAAAAAGGCTTCGAAAAGTTCGCTTCATTGGGAGAGCTCCACGGACGGAGTGTAGTATGGGGATCACGATTGCCTGGTCTTACATCCAATACCGTATCAAAAGAGGAGGCAAGTAAATCTCTGCCGCAGTTAAAGAGAAATGAGAGACTACGCAACAACACAACACTCCTGCACTCCCTAACCGACCCCCTCACCTTCGACACTGCAAACACTGAAGAAGGCGTCGCGGATTTCGACGACAGGTTCAAGCGCGCTGGGGCGAAGGCAAAAGTCATTGAGCGAATTGTCGGCGAAGCCGAAAGTAACAGTGCCTCTACAAAATCACCTGATGGATCACGATCACCAGCGCGAGGGAAGACGGGGCCGGTGAGAGTGACTGGGCAGAGTAAGGCGGGTGGTGCGAAGAAGGGGGATGATAGTATAGAGGATTTTGCAGGATCGAAGTTGTTGCGCTGAGGCGATGGTTTTGAGCATACGGCTTGAGTGTGATGACTTCGGGCGGGTCGGGCGGCGCTGAGCCCTGTCTGTCTCAATGGGGAGAATGGTAATGAGGATCTGCGCTCGTATCATCTGGTATCCCGTACCTGCCTCCCTGGGTAGAGCGGACTGGGGCCTCGTACCATCCCCAAGATTATGGCCTGACATCGCTACACCGGCGGAAAGAGCGAACTACCAGGCAAACGGGGCAAGACACCAAGCCATCGTACAGTCGTGCGTGCAAGAATGATGGAAAAGCACTAGGCTTCAAATTACTCCGCTATCCTAGAAGGGGACCCGGGCACAACCCAAGGTCTTAGCTCAACCACTACACCGTGCTATGACATACGAGATGAAGAAAGATAATAAGAATCCATCATAACTAAAAGGATATTGAGAAAGGTGTCAAATCGAAAGTGTGCCGCAAAGTCTCCTCCTCTCCCTTTTCGTGCTAGATGATGCACTGGTATCAAAAACATGTCGCAAATGCCCCCCTTGCGATTGACGCACACCTAAACCACCTCCGCTCAGATAGCATCGATCATAGGGACAGGCCTTTCCATGCGTGGCTCCATACGCGGTGGTGGAGGGCCGTTGGGCTTGCCCCCGCTACTATCGACGCGGTTATGATTCGGGAACTCCTAGTACCCGTTCATGGTCATGCGCTGGCTGTTCCTGCTGAGCTCGCGGTCGGCAGAGGGTGAGATGGGGCGCGAGGAGTGGCCCTGGTGGGAGCTCTCCTTGAGGGCAAGCAGCTGCTTGGCGCGGAACGACTCGTAGTGGATTTGTGCGGTCGTCTCGATCAGGTCTTGCAGGTGGGTACGGGTGAGGAAGTTGCGGAGGTAGACGAATTCGCAGTGGTTCTCGTCCTCGACTGGGGGATGTTAGCTAAAAGCGCGTGAAGGGTGGGTTGAGATGGCCTACCGTTGATGATACCCCACTTGTTCTGGCGACCGCGGACGTTCCTGCCGTTGACAACAACGGTCCTCTCAGAGCCGACGACGGCAAAGGGAAGGAGTTCCTAGTGGAAGTTAGCAGACGTCCAGTCGCACCTCGACAACTCCCTCACCTTGATGGCCTGCTTTGCCTGGACTTCCTCGTTGTCATCCTCCTCGTTGTCGTAGGGGTACATGCGCAGGTTGTGGAACTGAAACTCCTCCTTTATCCTGTGCTTGAACTCGGCACGCTCCTCCAGGGTCAAGCTGTCGCTCTTGGCAATGACGGGCACGACGTTGACAAACTCGCTGAGCTTCTTAAGGACGACAATGTCGATGGGCTTGAGGGCGTGGCCAGAGGGCTGGATGAAGAACAGGCAGCAGTGGATGCGCGTGTCCTGGAGGTAGCGCTCACGCTGGGCGGTGAGCTCCTTGCGCAGGTAGGCGCTGTGCTGGTCCTTGATGTACTTGACAATGGGGTCCCAGCAGCGCTCGTTGTTGATCAGGTCGCCGTAGCCGGGCGTGTCGACAATGTTGAGGCGCAGACGCACGCCGTTTTCCTCGATGATGTGTGAGACGGGGTGGATGTTGGTGGTGCTGCGGACCTCCTCGTCGGGCTGGAAGCGGCCCTTGGAGTCCATGAGGTGCGAGGCGAAGAGCGTGTTGATCAGAGTCGACTTGCCGAGACCAGTCTGGCCTGTACACCGTCAATACCAATCGGGACATGGTGGAGGAAGTAGCTTACCAACGCAGATGACATTGAACTGGAAGCCCCGCTTGACCGACTTGCGCTCAATCTGCTTGGTGATGCTGTCGAAACCGACATAGCTGTCCGGGAAGATGGGCTGCGACTGGTTCTGGTTGTATGCAGCAGCCATTGTGGATGATGGGAGCCTCGGGGCGCGGACTGGGGGTGATGGAGGTGGGTGGGTGAATGGGAATTAGGTTGGGGAGAGGAGGGTCGGAGGTGTCGTCGTAATAGAGTAAATAGTCAGGGTCGCTGCGCTGGCGACTTTCTCGTGGAGATGCAGGCGCGGGAAAGGGGGCAGCTAGGAAGCGAAAGCGCGCTAGTGGGAGGGCGGTAAGGCGCGACCTGCAAGCTCGGACTGGGGTCACGACATTTTACAACACCATCACCGGCATCGCCATATCGCGGCCCTACGTAATCCCGCCACAGCCAGTCGCCCGTAGCAGACATGGCACTCACCCGCCCGCTCCCTCCGCTGTGGCAGACTCTGCTGCCGCGCCTCAATGGCCCAATGCGGCCCATCCTGAACACGCCTTTCCTTCAACGCCTATCACAACCCTTCGGCGCAACCAACACACCATTCGGCGCACTCGCGATACCGTCACTATCACTCCCCTCAATACCGTCACTATCCGATATCTGGGACGGCATACTCAATGCGGTGCCCAAGAAGAAGACGTCATACCGCAAGAAGCGCCAACGGTTCATGGCGGGCAAGGGACTGAAGGATATCACATCGCTAAACACATGTTCTGGGTGCGGAAGAGTCAAGCGCCTGCACATCCTGTGTCCCTACTGCGTGGACGGTAAGACTGCCAATCCCCATTGGAAGGGCTATCCGCTAACAAGTACCCCAGCCATCAAGACCACCATCTTCGGCCAGCTCAACTGGGCCATCCGCCGACCGACCGACAAGCAAGCGAAGGTGATGAAGAGGGAAAAGCGCGAAGAGGCGCAGCGAATACGGACGCTAGAGCCCGACCAAAGGAAGGCGAAGGAAGAGGCAGTAATGAAGCACACGGGCTGGAAGAGATGATGCGGGGTGGAGGAAGTTGTAGAGAAGTACACAGGCTGAAAGAGATGGTGCGGGAAAGATGAACGACCCGTGAACGAGAGCAATTGGCATGTAGTCTGGATGACTGTATTTGTAGCGCATATACAGGCGCGGCTTGGGCGTCGGGATACTTGTACATGAAAGATGTAACAACATAACGGACAGGCGACTACGATATACACCACAGGCAAATGCACACTGGATCAAGCAATTCAAGGTGTCTTCAGCACCCGATTCTGTTGCACCAAAGTGTTCTATGATTACCCCAATCCATCCATTACCTCTTCTCGTTAGCACCCATAGGCGGCGAACCAACCGTACTCCCCCTCCTACTCGCATCGCCCTTGCCCTCCGCCGCCTCCCTCTCCAAGAAGTCCTGCCACAACTCCGCCAACGACTCCTTGTTACTCGAGCTACTAGCCATGAGCATAGGGTCTGCGGCAGCGGCGCTCAGTGACGCGGTCGATGGCGTTCGTCTGAAGGGCGAGGAGAGAGGGATGCGGAGGCCGGTTGAGCTGGATGAGGTGCCGGGGCGAGCGAGACCTGCTTGCTCTTTTTGCTCTGGGTGGGGGGTTAGTAAGAGGAAAGGTGTGAGGGTGAGGGGAGAGGGGAGGAGGGAAGGGGGGCGTACCATCTGTCCAGCCCAGCAGCGCAGAGATGAGCTGCAGCGCCTCGAATTTCTTCGGATCACTCCGGTCTATACTTAGGAAATGCAAAAAGTAGTTTGTGATGATCTGTCGATCGACGTTATCCTCCGGCCGTCCTTTTTTCAGTATCCGCAGTGCTTTAGTGAGGTGTTCGTTGAGTGTTACGGCTTCGTGTCGCAGTTTGCCGATTAACAGGTTCTTCTCCTTGACTTCCTTCTCGAAGGGGAGGGCGCGCTCAAGGTCTTTCTGGGTGGATTCAAGGGTGGCTTTGGCGGCGTTGGACGCCGATTCCGCGGCTTGGACTTGTTTCCGCAGGTCGTTGATTTGCGATTCGTAGGTCTCGACGGACTTTTTGAGCTCGGCTTTTCGCACTGTACATCGTCAGTTAGGATAGACTCTTGTCGAAGGGAGATTGTACTCACGGTTCTGTACTTCCTGCAGCGCTTTCTGCAGACCCTCCACAGCTTGATTATTGGTATCCCTATCCCTGGCAGCGCGTTCGTACTCTTCCCGCATCGACTCCAGCTGATCCCGCAATTCAGCGTCCTTCTCAGCCATGTTCTCGCGCAGAGATCGCTCGTTCATAGCCAGCACTTCCCAGTCTTGCATGGCTTGTTTGGCATTCTCAAACTCCTCCCTAGCGTAAGCCTCTCGCGAGATCAGCTCATCGCGCTCCTTGATCCAGTTCTGTTGCGACAGGGTCGACCTGCTCCGTAGTGTCTCAATCTCGGATGCCTGGACTTCCTTTTCTTGCCGTAGCTTTGCGAGCTCTTCGGTCAGGCTGTTGTTGTTCTCCTGTAGCTCGCGGGTTTGCTCCTCGAAGTCGGCGATTTGCGATTGGAATTCCTCGATCCTGGCCTGCGGATTGTTAGTACTCTGTCTGCTGCAATGTCCTATGCAGACATACCGCATCGGCCTTTAGCCGGTCGCCCAAGCTGGTCTTGATCGTGTTGACCCTGCCGAGCAAGTTCTTGTATTGTGTCTCGAAGTGCTCCTTGCCCTCGTTGGCCTCATCCAACTCCTCCCTCAAACTCCGCATCTCCTCCTCATGGTTCGCATGTGACTCGTCTGATGTCCCTGTGCTCTGCTTGTTCTGAACCTCCTCCAGACTCTTCCTCAGCTCCGTGACTTCCTGCCGCAGCGCATCGCGCTCCTTGGCTATCGCGTCTAGGCGTGCGCTGGCGTCCGAAGGGGGCGGCGGCGAGGCGGAGATTCCTTGTTGCGAGCGTGAGCGTGCCAGTCCAAGCGCAATTGCGGACGAGATGCTGTGGTGTGGAGTACCGTTGGTCTGCAGGGTCGGCGACAGCGGCGGTTGGTCGTCGTCTACGTCGTCGGCGTCTGGATCGGCTGAATGCGCGGCGGGCTTCTGCATTGACACCATTAGTCTTCGTGGTTGTATAGAGGGCTCTCGTGGACCGCATACAGCCTGCTCGGCCTCATCCTCGGCGTCTTCATCGTGATCATCCGCGTCGCTTCTGGCGTGGTCCCCATTTACTTTGTCTGTGCCGTCCGCCTTGTTCGCAGCGGCGGCTTTCTTCTTATTCTTCTTTTTCTGCGACTTGGACAAAGTGCCTGTCGTCGCCTGTTAGCCTGTAATTCTTCCGTGCTCCCACATCGGCCGCGACGTGAAAGCGGAGTTTACTGGCACCTCCGAGGGCTGCAAGCTCACCTACCACTCTGCTGTATGGGGTCTGATGTAGTGGGCGCAGACATCTTGAAAGACGCGTAATGCAGTCGCTACCGCATCAAGAAGGCTTAGTATATGGGCGAAAGAGGCTCTGAGGGTTCTGGGGGAGCATTCGTGGGTGTCTTGACTTGGCAATTCGTGTCCCGTTCTATGGTTTGTTTCGGCCCACGCGGTCCACGGGTGGCGTACGTCACTAGCCACATCTCACCATCGTCCCATCTTTAGACCGACGCAGGCCCCTCGTAGTCATCAACCCGCATGCGACGACTTGTACATTGTCTCGATCACAAGGGAGACAAATTCTTTGTGTGCACTGCTTCACGACTCGAGCCATCAGCGACAGCGCGCCAACCTTCGCGGGGTAGCCGAGCCCTCCGACATCTCCTGCAATCCAGCTCAAACAAGCCAAGACTGACCGCGTAACCTGTTCGATCCCTCCAGACCATGAAGTACTATCGACCGCTATTCTACTCTGCCGTCACAATCATTTATGCCTCGTTCACGCTCCGAGTCCTCAGATTAGGTCTCCTTTCAAGATTGATCAGTCAGAAACGGGACCCAAAAGCCTCGTCGGACAGCGTCTGAGATATGCTCGAGTGCTCCAAACGCCAACGTCTGATTACGTCTGGCTCTATGGATGTCGTGCACACGAGCTTTCTCGGACCATACCTCTGGAAACGTCTCCGACTCCAGTATATGACGATGTGGTTTTTTGTATCACCACAGTATTACCGTCATCTTTCAGGCTCACACAGGCACATTACATACCCAAACCCCATAACAGCACTTCCATCTACAAATTCAATTCCAAAATCCTGACCGCCCCGTCCAAGCCAAAGCAAGCGCTCGATTTCGACGGCGCCCTCTTCCAAGAACTCCAAGGCGATGTCAGCGATTCCCACCACTCGCTGCAACGTCTGTCGTCCACGACAACGGCTGCGGTCCCGGCGCAGTGACCGTAGCGATAATGGGAAGCAGCTTTCCAACCGGTCTCAAGATCCACGCCACGGACTTAAAAGCCCATGTTCCTCGCTCAGCTGTAAGACAATCTCACCGACAACCCCTCGTGGCCATTCAAAGTCGAGACAATGGACGCCTGTAACCTCACCTTCCCAGACAACACCTTCGACAGCGCGATGAGGAGATGTGGGATGAGGCGCTCGACTTCATTGTGGAAAAGTTGCCTCGTAATGAGTGGTTCAAGGGTGAGGGTGGGGTGAACAAGATAAGGATGGTTGTTGATGTTGCGATTGTCAAGAAGGGAGGTTTGTGAGTGAGTTTCTTGCTGTGTATACTCTCTGACAATCTAGATCTGTACAAACAGCTACGGTATAAAGGCTCCGCTTTTCTGGTTATCGAGTGCGCCTGCTGTGGCTTTTCTATACTACACGTCCAGTCACTGGTATTCACTCTAACTGTCGTGGCGACCGTACCTTGTCTTATCATACGAAAGTTCTGTGGATCCCTTGAGAAGGTAATGAGCTCATTTCTCAGGCTACCGAGCTCACCAATACGGCCATATCAGTCTTTCACAAGACTGGTTCTACGTTTCCTATCTGAGAGTAATAAATGCACTTCTAGTGCAGATGCAGCCGGCCAAACCCCGCTCATCATCACGAGCACAATTCCATGACTGTATATTGGCCAAAGCTTCCGCCAGGAACGTTTGCTCTTGGCTTTGAACATGAGCATCAGAAGAAGCAACGTGAGCTTTCTCTACCAGATTACCTTCCTAGCCTGGCTAACAAGTTCAGGGGACGACTACGTCAACTTCGACTGCTCCAAACTCGAGGGCTACGAGACTGCAAAGAAGAAAGTGGAGACTGAGCCCGAGTGGAAGGGGAAAACGATTGAAGACGTCTGCAAATCGAACTTTCTGGGATACCTGAACGGCCTCCATTTTGCAGCACCAACCGCGTACTGTACCGACATGGGTCTCGCAAAAGATGACAGGACACCATTGCTACAGTACTCGGATACGACATACAACTACGACTCTATCATGCACTACCCCTCTCAAGCGTTCGCTGCAAATCAGCGAGGTGCCGTCAACGAGCTACCCCTTGTACGCTGGAAGAATGGACGTCCCAGTGACGGTTCGGGGCCGAACGATAAGAATGCACAATACATTCCAACTTGGACGGTGATTTCGGATGGAGATAAGAGGGGCGTTCAGCAGTATTATCCGTACGTGGGACCTACAGAGAATGAACAGGATCAAGGTGTACAGGATGTAGGAGTATGGGGTTAGCAAGACATCGATGGTAGAAAAACATGTCTTGACAGCAATGTACCAAGGTCAGGTAGATTGTTAGACATAAACAAGGTTATACAGGTTGCCTCAATACATGGACGAACATCATCTTTCGCGCACGTGTATATTGACTGTGATGTCGGTGGTCGGGCGAAGGTCCCTGAAACCCTCTGACGTCGCCTGGACCCTGAGGCTAAAGTCGCCGGTTCCCCACATCGGGGCCGTTACGGCAGGTACCACAATGACAGCACCACATCGCCGGGAACATCGTTCGGTATCCGAAAAAGAACCGTTACTACACACACGCAATACTAAGATGCAATTCCTTATGTTAAACCACAGAATCGATGTTGCATCCAGATATAGTCTTCGGTCACCGTGAACAACATCAGTCTATCTTCGACACATCTTAATTACCAGATTACCCCCAACTCAACATCAAGAGCTCCAGACCATCTACTAGCTATGGCGGCTGTTTCGGTTGCACTTAATCTCGACTTATCGAACCTCAACGTTAGCACCGGAAACGACGATACCAACGTGTCCAGCGACTTCTCCTACGGCTTCTCGCATGCGAACGGCACCAACGGTAACAATGCCAAACCCCTCCCAATCGTGATTGCGGGAGGCGGTTGCGTCGGTCTGTTTCTAGCCCTCCTCCTCGCACAGTCAGACATACCCAACAAGGTGGTCGTCATTGAACCGCAGCAGCCAGATCCAATGTCGACGCGCGCAATGGCACATCAACCGCCAACATATCCCATCTTATCCAAAGTCGAAGGCCTACTACCGGAGTTGGTAAAGACAGGAAGTTTGAGCTCAGGCCTATGTTTCCGAACGAGCATCCAAAACGGCAGCAAAGTGATCGCAAGCAAAGAGTTCGACAACTCGGGCGAAGGCATGAAAGGAAAAGGTCAACTCCTCCTACCACAGGGAAAATTCCAACAAGTCCTCATGAAGCGCCTAGCAGCTCTGGGTGACGAAAAGGCAGAAGTGCGCCTCGGAACAAGCGTCTCATCCTTCAAATCAACCCCCAGCAGCGTCACCGTGCAAATCACCCCCGAAGCCACCTCCCTGCAACTCGGCGACGAATCCCTCGAAGCCCTCTACCTACTCGACGCATCCGGCGCCCACTCCACCATCCGCAAAGACCTCAACATCAGCCTCGAAGGCGAAACACTCGACGCCCAACTCGTAGCCACAGACCTTTACTTCGACTTCCACGCCCACGGCTTCCACGACGCGAACTTCATCATGGATCCGCTGAACTACGGTCTCATTGGCCGTATTAACCACGCCGACACCCGGGATGGGAAACCGGCGCTGTGGCGGGTTAGTTATGGGGTCCCGATTGGGGTGTCTGAGGAGGAGATTATGAGGACGCTGGATGAGAAATTGGGGGTTATGATGCCGAATGGAGGACGGGATGGGCAGGGGGAGAAAGCGTATGAAGTCGTGAGGGTGGCGCCGTATAAAGCGCAACAGCGGCTCGTTCCGTCGTTGTATCATCACGACGAGCGTGTCTGTCTTGTTGGGGATGCGGCGCATTTGACGAATCCGTATGCAGGACTTGGGCTGGCGTCTGGTATGGCGGATGCGTCGTCGCTCTCTGAGGTTCTCATTCGAGTCCTTACTGGGAAGGCTTCGGATGATGAGAGGCTACTGAACGCCTGGTCAACGGCTAGAAGAGAGAGTTTTTTGAATGTTGTGGATAAGCCTTCGCGGATGGCGTATAAGCGGGTCAAGGCTGATGTCAGCAATGATGAGAAGATACAGGAGATGATGAGCAAAGACCCGCTTGTGGGTGCGTTGAAGAAGGGTATGCCTGTTCAGCCGCCGAGTTTAGAGACGAAGGGGGAGGAGTTGGAGGGGTGGTGATGGCGAGGATGTTGATTATGCGTCATTATGGGTTTGTTGCAAAACTTCTTGCGAAGTATTGCCCTGAATTCATTATACATTAGACATGGCGTAATACGAGTTGCTCAAAGAATCATTCCCCAGCATACCATCCCCCCAAACGACTAATCCCCGTAGGCAGCACATTATCTTCAACCACCGAATCCGTAAGCTGCCCCCACAGATCCATCTCACCATCCCAATCCCGCGCCGCCACAGCAGGATAATCCTTCGGCGGAACAGGCGGCCTTTCATCCCCCCTCATCGGCGCAGTCGCCCTCTTCATCTTCCCATAAGCCAACCTAGCTACAGCCGCCGCATCCTGATCCGCCGTAAAATACTCGAGGTAATCCTGAAGCTGAGGCGTGAGATTACTCTCCGGATAGCCCTCAACGCGTCCAGTCGAAGTACGGTTCCATCCAAACTCAGTAAGACTGGGCAGTGAACGGACTAGTCGCATCCACTCATGATATATACCCGGTCGTTGGAGTAGAGAGTAGATGACGTTAGTATGTTTCCACTCCCTCACCCCCTTCCCCTCTTCCCCCATATGCCTCGCAACATGATCACACCTTTCCCCCCACTCGTTACTAAAATGAACGCAGAACCCACAGCCCCAGCCCGTCCTCGTCATACGCCGCCGTCTCGCAGACAGCGCATGAATCTTTTTCCTACCAGACCCCACCTCAGCGCAAGACGTGCATCGGTGAGCCGTAGCGTGGTGTTTCGTATAGTCTTTAGCGAGGAAATAGATGTGATCGCAGAGTCCACACGTGAACATTTCGGGTCGCTCTTGGTAGGTTTCTTCGTGACGTTTCCAGTCTGCTTTTGAGATGAAGGGGCGGGTGCAGCTTGTGCAGAAGTAGGCGTGGGGTTTGGGGCAGAGGCGGGATTGTTTGTGTGCGGAGACGCAGGTTTTGAAGTAGTCTTTTGATTGTGGGGCTGGTTTTTTGGGAGATTTTCCCTTGGTGGGACGTTGGCAGCGCTCTTCTGTTGGGGTAGCGGGATATAGAGGTGGATCGGCGGGACCGTGACACAAGAGATGTTCAGCCATGGAAAAGTTTTGGTTTCTCGACATATCGGAACTGTTCGAATAGCCTGATGTGGACGATGACATTGAGTCTCGGAGAGGGGTCTGCGAGAAGCTACTGTTCCCCGAGGATCGATAGCTTGACATTGCCGACGAGAAGCTCGAAGCGGAGAGGTGTTGCGGTGAAACGAAGGGCTGGCGTACGGTGTTTGCGGTTGGCCATTGTCGAGGAAGATGTTGCAGAGCCTCTGTTTTTGGGTCAGTCAAAGTACTACTATGGTGCACTGGGAGTGATCTTCACATACCGATAGGGCTTTGTTGGTACTTGTTGGCGATGCTGGGCTGATCCTCCATATAGCTCCATGCTGAAAACGCAGTGTCGAAGGCTTCGTTACCGAAATCATCGGTCGTGTCGTATGTATACAGCGAGCCAGCGCTTGAATGTTCGTAACCACTCATGATGCAGAAGAGTAAAGGATGTACAAGAAAGAAATATATTCAATGCGCGCTGCGCTAGTAGTTGAAGAACGTCGTCCCGACCAAAACACCAACATGCCTCCATCGCCGGCTATATACCCTCAACCACATTCTCAGCCTCAGCTGCAGCGACCAGAAATGCGGCTAGCGTTGTGGAGGCGGCGTAGTTCACCTGAAACGCGGCGAACGCTGATGGCAGCCGTTTCATGGCCTGTCCGTGTTTCGAAACAACAGGCATCCAGAATGAGGGGTCGCGACGATTGGATCGAGATAATCAATCGTGCAGAGGCGTGCATATCTGTGTTCCCAAGGCTGTTGACCGGTTGCGATGAAAATATGCGCTGCGAGGGCGAGTGGTTGAAGCGAAAGGCTGAAACGGCGACGGGCGAATAGGCGGTGGTTTGCCAAGGAAGCGGGACCAGAAGCCATCCAAAATGTCCGACCGTATTTATAAGTTGGTGCAGCCCGAGATGCTGACGTGCATGTTCCCGAGGTACTTTGAGCTCCCAGAATACGATGGTAGTGACCAGGGTACTTCATCCGGTAAGCTTCGACGGGTGTGCGAACCTTCAACGACCTTCACGACCCATCTTCCCATCCACCCCCGCCATCTACAAGCGTCACAGTAGTCTCCTCACCCACCTCATAGCCCACGTCTGTCTTGCTGCGTCGCCTCGAACACCTCCTCGCCTCGCTGTCGAGTCGCCGTCAAAACGTTGGGGTTCAACGTCGTTCTCAAACCTGTTTCGTACCGCTGCCTTTGCAGCCCAGAAGTCGTTCATCTCGCTGCCTATGCAGCCTAGTCGTCGTCGTTATCCTCCTCCTCCTCCTCCTCTTCCTCACTGGAGCTTGGTTCAACAGGCGTGTGGCTCACGCTGTGGGAAATATCCCAAAAATGGTTCCATTTCTTCTTGATGTGCTCTTTGAGCACCGCTCCCTTACACAGGAACTTCTTCCTGCTGTCGTCGAGCCACTTTCTGAAGGCCATTTGGGTTGGATAGTGGGATTGTTGTTGTGTTGTGGGTATGGTGTGTATGGTGGTGGTGGTGATGGTGAGAGTTTGCCAAACGGAGCTGAAATAGCAAGCATGGCTGTAGCTGGCCAATTTCCAATACAAGGTGACTGTAGATGCCATGTGGGCTTTAGTAAGCTTGGGCCATTGAAGACTCGCAAACCTATGAGCTGAAATGCCTCAATTGTTGTGCTGGTTTGGTGATTTGGCGCTAGTGCGGCGAACTGGGAGCCCCCCCAATGCTCGGACATACTCAACACCAGATTCACGAATGCACTGCACCCACAACCCTCCCTGTCGATACTCACGTCGTTCTACCGCTACTAGGAGATATATGTCCAGCTCATTTGGTCCCCTGGGACTGTTCCACCGCTTTGCTCATCGCCGCAGAAGCTCGTGATAACCTCTAGGCCTACCTCACACGGGGCTATCTACGTTGAAGCTGATATTGGAAACCTCCTCGCGCTCCAGAGAATCACGATATCTCATGTTCTCGTTCCATACACGCAGCTGCTGGCGCTCCTCGTGGCGGTGAGCTAGGGTCGTGGGCCGCTCCAAGGACGCCTCCTCCGTCGAGCCTGG